CATCCATCCATCCATCCATCCATCCATCCGTCCGTCCGTCCGTCCATTCATCCATCCATCCATCACAACCTTGATAGAAACTTACTGCTATTATTGCCAGTACTGGAGCGATAAAAGCCCATACGAATCCATCTTCAAGAGACAACCAGCAGCTACAACGAAAAATGCATGCCATAAATTGGAATAAACTCGACTGTCGTATTAAGAGCAGTTATGCAGATGATAAAAATTCTACAAAGCGAAAATGGAAATGAAGTATATTGATCGCAACCTAAGAAGGCTTGTCGTCCGAAAATGGTCGTCATCAACATTTATGATAGAACAGACGCTCATAGTGATGGATTTATTTTGCGTATTGATTCAAACTTACAGATTTTTGGTGCCATAGCTTCCTGGTTTGAGGACGGCTGGAATAAGAATGATCAAAACTGGTATACCTGAAATTCAAGCCAGTAAACCTTTTTAGCTTGGGAGTATTCCCTTCCCGCYTCCACCACTCCCCACACAAACACACACATTTCACACCAGATTGACCGATTTGATTTGTCATTGAGAGCGACAATTACTGGATTTGTTTTAACTATCTTCAGCACTGTACTTCAGGGTTTTTTTATCTACAACATAACCCCAGTAATCACACTATCGCTGACCCCACGCATGCGTGATAGTGATTTATATTACCCCATCCAATGATGCAGTAGTATCTTATCTTGACATTCTCGACTCCAAAGACTCTGACAACTTTGAGATAGAGATGGACACCTTCAAGGAGCATCCAAATAAACGATGCCAAGAACAGATAATGTAATGTGCCTGCGATGAACTGACAGAGTAACTGCAATAATAATAATAATAATAATAATAATAATAATAATAATAATAATAATAATATAATAAGTTTCGATGATAATAATAATGATGATGATGATGATGAGAATGATAACTATAATAGTGGTAGTGAATGATCACGATGATGAGGATGTAGTACTTATCAATATATATTATACAAATAGATGATATAAAAGACATTAGTACCTTTATTTCTGTGGCTTTTACTCCAGACAGGAACACAACCTGAGCCAACATCAGTGCGATTACCAGATTGAGGTGGATTCGATGTCTTTCTGAAGACAAAGATCTGCAGCAAAACAAAAGATCACTTTTATCACCATCACCATCACCACTACCGTCACCGCTACCACTACCGCTACCGCTACCACTACCGCTACCACTACCGCTACCACTACCGCTACCACTACCGCTACCACTGTTATTACCAGGATGATAAATTTATTATCATTTTTATTATTCAGTGAGATCACTATTACTATTTAGGTTTGGGGGGGGGTTATTATACTTACTTCATGAAGATTAAACAGAGAAGTGTAATCAGAAATCCAAAGCAGGAAAGTGAGCATCCAATGTATGTTATCAGAGAGAGGGACAGCTCCTCCAATTCAGTCACCTGTTTGATAACAAATTGTTGCGAAACAATCGTTATATAAACTAGAATCGTGCAGCAAGACTGCGAGACAAATTTTTGGTATGTAACAAAATTTACATCACCGTAACACCAACATATACATTTGTAAAATGCCTTTGATTATTTAAAAAATGCGTTTYATGAAACAAGAATCATTTTTACCGTTGTCGGTGTGAACTGCATAAGAACTGCAAAACTTGTTAAGTGTGTTGTAGAGCAGACTGTATTGGAGGTGTTGGTCCAATGAGTTGAAAGCCCATCGCTGTCCCACGAACTGTATGAAAGCCAGATAAATCCGTGACCTTAATTTTGGCTTTTGAATCGAAAAAAATGCCCTTGTCTGCAAATTTGAATAATCCTTTTAAAATGCCTTTAGACCCGACTGCATACTTGGTGTGTAAACTGTGAACTGATGTTAGTATGCAAGGTGGTGAAATGTAACAGAAACAACTTAAATCACGCTAGATACGGAATCAGTGGAATTAGGGATAGTGTAGTGGTGGTGCACACTCGCCTCTCGCCTCTTGGGTGTGGGTTTTGATATTTTCTCATGTGAAACGAGTTTGTTAGGTTTATTCGATCCGGTTTTTCTCCTGGTTTTAACTTCCAATTCGATTTGTGAGTTGGCCGTGCCCTTACTTTGATGAGCTCAGAGGTCGTCTCGGGGTAACGTAACGAAAACCTTTTCATTACCAATAAAAAGAAAAGAAAGTCTACTCACTCGCTGGTCGTGTTCCAGAATGAGCACTTGATATTCGTCCCTTGCTGAAATGTCGCAGTTACAAATAAAATAGTTAAAGCATTATTAAGCAGTTCACTGTCAGAATATAAAATTGAATCATTTAAAAAATCCTAAAAAATTTTCGCTTCACATCTTCTTTGCAATTCCTTTAAAACTAATTACCGCTGTGACCTTTGACTACGGACTCATTTGTTCAGGATCAACCTTCTTATTTCATTGGCAAAATATTCTCAAATACAAAAAGTAAATTATAATGTATATAATTCCAACAATACATACAAATTTCACGGAGTTTCAATGAAACATATGGATGTTCTACATGAAGAGAATTTGAAAATGGGGCTAAGTTTGTGATTTAAAGAATATTAATAAATGTCCTCGGAGTCACCAAGTAAGAGAGTAGGTTGTGGAATGGGTCCACAAATAAACTAAAAATTAATCATGGTTAACAGTTAACTGATGTTTCATTATTTTGGTAGCCTGCAAAGCAGACGTTCTTGTGAGTTTGGGGAGAACTTTGCAACGAGCGAGAATTGAGGCCCCATTTTTCTCGCGGGCCCTTGGTCGAAACAGGAACCCCAGAACCCCGATGCTTCCTCAAACCCATCAAAAGAACGCCTGCTCTGCAGGCTATTATTTTGGTTGATATTATGGTCAGCGCTTGTAAGATTGTTAACAGTCAACTGACAATTGGCCTAAACATCAGCATTTAACTGACAATTGGATCTGATCCCCGTCCACACCCAAGACACGGGCTTGTCGACCCCCTATTGGCCCTTGACCAGTAGGAATGACACATGAATGATGTGAAAGCTAGCTTATTAGTAGAGTAGTATCTACTTTCTGTTTTTTGAGAATGTTATCGTATTCTACATTAGAGAAAAACGTTTGCGCGTGCGTGCAATATATTCAGCACGTTTTCTAAGAATTTTAAAGAGTTTGAGTGAGAAAATAAATGTTTGTYTTCTCCAAGTATATAAAAAAGTTCGAGAGCATACTTTTAACAAACACAATATGAAAGAATTAGCCTTAAGTTTCAAGCATGGACACTAAGTTTTGGCATTTTGTAAAGTCCAATTTATCAGGCATGTTTGAAAGCCAAATTTACATATGTTTTRACTAATTTGCATACGGATTCAGAGCATGCGCAGACGTTTTTCACTCGTGTCACCGTATTCTACCTTATACAGCCTGAAGTGTAAGAGCGCAGGTGATCTCAGATTTTTTATATTACGTCCATTGGAAAAGAGACTGTAAGATGTCAGAAGTGTTACAACTTTATAAGGATCAGTCCTGAAACCACAAGATAAAATAAGCTATAAAAATTTCCTTAGCTTCGTGTGCTTTTATTAATGAAGAAGTAGAAAACGAGTGTACGTACTGTATGCAGTTTCATAAAATATTTGAAATACAACGTGCACGCTGATTGGTTGGCTACCATATTTATACCAGAGGACAGAGACACGCTTGCGCAAAATCGTTCAAAAATATTTTATAAAAGCAATATTGAACGGCTGCTTATTTCTCTGTACCGAGATATAAACACTCTGGAAGCTCTAGAGCACTCGAGAAGCAAGAGAAACACTCGACTACGCTTTGTGTTCCTAAGCTCGTTTTTCTTGTGCTCCACATCCCAGCGTATCTATATCGCAGTACAGAGACATGCAAGATTTTTATTTCTCTCATAAGATACGARATAGAATAGCCGTTATTTTGGATACAAAAAGTTCGTTTTACCTGTTGTCTTTATTTGACTCAGGTAACCCATCTTGAATGTTTTTAAAAATTAAAACAATAGCCTTAAAATTTCCTGCAAAATCAAGGAATACACGAAGATTAGTTCAAAGAAAACATATTGAGTTTCTTGATTCAGGATGGTGTATAATTGTGCAATTGCCTCTGGTCTCCGGCCGGTCTAGTTTTTTTAAAATCCCTCACGTCATTTTTGAGGCAAAATGGACCCATCTAACAATTATCTTGGGTGCGAAATGAGAAGAGAAATGCCACAAATTCTATCAAGAAAAAGTTTGATTTCTTTTCACGTTAGCCTCGCATTCAAGGTAATTTTGAAATGGGTCCATTACTTGGGACTAGTTCTCACCTTGATTCTAGAGGTTCTAACATTCTGCGCAACGATGCGAAGGTTTCTCCTTAATTATACTTTGTAGAACTGTTGCCGGCAACGTTGCGCGTTGTCTGTCTGTCTGTCTGTCTGTCTGTCTGTCTGTCTGTCTGTCTGTCTGTCTGTCTGTCTGTCTGTCTACTTAACTTACTTGGTGATTCGGGAAGTGCTTTACTTGGCACATTAACAAACGCTTCTTCAGTTGAAATAAAATCTTTTGGTAGCTTTGAATGGACAGGAAGAATATAGTTTGTTGGTCCGGCTTCTAGTGAAATGGATTGGAAAGCTATAAAGAGAAATATATGCTTCCTTTTACATGTATTCAAGATCTGGACCCCCTTTAATATTATGTTCCATTTATTCAGTATCTAAACCCCCTTTGACCTCATGTTCAATTAATTCAAAATGTGGATCCCCTTTGACCTCATGTTCAGTTCATTCAGTATGTGACCCCCTTTGACCTCATGTTCAATTCATTCAGTATTTGGACCCCCTTTGACCTCATGTTCAATTCATTCAGTATATGGATCCCCTTTTGACCTCATGTTCAATTCATTCAGTACCTGGACCCCTTTTGACCTCATGTTCAATTCATCCAGTATGTGGATCCCCTTTGACCTCATGTTCAATTCATTCAGTATGTGACCCCCTTTGACCTCATGTTCAATTCATTCAGTATGTGGATCCCCTTTGACTTCATGTTCAATTCATTCAGTATACCTTTTGGCCTCATGTTCAATTCATTCAGTATGTGGACCCCCTTTGACCTCATGTTCAATTCATTCAGTACCTGGACCCCTTTTGACCTCATGTTCAATTCATTCAGTATGTGGATCCCCTTTGACCTCATGTTCAATTCATTCAGTATACCTTTTGGCCTCATGTTCAATTCATTCAGTATGTGGACCCCCTTTGACCTCATGTTCAATTCATTCAGTATGTGGATCCCCTTTGACCTCATGTTCCATTCATTCAGTATGTTAACCCTCCTTGGCTAATCAAGCCTACCTATCAAGCTTGTGTTGTAGTGGTGCTCAGTCGTGTGGTTAGCAATACTCTCTCCCATCTCTTCCAATGTTGTTACAAAGGTCGGTAGCTAAATGAATATCAAAGACATTCGTCAATAATGGGAAAATAAGATTTCCTCGGCTGACTAAAGCATTGAATGCGAGTTAATATTTTCAGCTGAAATTGTTTTTTTTCTAAACTTCTAAAATCTGATTATTTTTTATTCTTCAAAAAACATGATATCATTTGTTTCTTCACAAAAAATTTAATTCGCCTTAGTGATATGTGGCAATTCTTCAGTGGCTTCATGAAAAATATTATACGATTAAGGTTTCAGCAAAAAAAAAAAAGTTAAGCTAATTGCATAATATTTCGACGATGGATGTGTCAAAAAAGGATTCCATTAAACTTTCTATAAAATAAAATTCACTACCTTTCTTGTTGTTTTCCAGTTCTGTTGGTTACGAGAGGATATAATAAATGTTGCAACTTTTAAAAGAGCACCAAAGGCTTCCTGTTTGTAGATAGAATAAAATTTTAGCGACAATAGACAAGGCAAGTTGTTGTTACACGCAACACTTTTATGTTCAGCTTGTCTCATCAAACTACTTTTACAGGTTGCAAGAAACTTTGCCTAACGCGTCATGCCCGACCCGTTGCAAATATATTGTCCCACTCAGAAAGTTTATACAAGTTTCAAAAAGTAGAAAGTATTTCCACTTTGCAAAAGCTGCATGCATGATTCATGTTGCGGAAAAGTAATTGACCTGTAAAAAAGCTTTTTGCAAGTTACAGCAATGTTTTTGCGAGACAATTCGGATGAGAAATGGGCATATGCAACGGGCAGCAAATTCCTGCGACTTGTCACGCAATATGAAGATATCGGGTTGCAATCAACATGCACTCACGTAATTTATTTTTGCCGGTACGGTATTCTTAAAATCGAGAGTTCTGATTGGCTGAGTGAGTGGAGGGTATTTTTTATCTTTTTTTATCTCTGGCCGCGTTCCTATATCCTAATATAACGGGCTAACGTCTTTCGCGCGCAAGCATGGGATAACGGATTGTTAATAATAAACAGCAAAGCAAATTGCAAAACAAGTGGAAAATTACATGGAAAAAAGTTATTTACATTCCTAAAGTCTGTAGGACATGGAAAAACTGTGCCCTCGGCCTTGAAACGGTCGGTACATTCAAGAACTTGGTCACAGTTTTTCCCTTTCCTAATCGTGGCCGGTAAATTACAGATATATCTTCCCGTGCGCAACAACTTTTCTTTGTTGTGACGTTGCGATTAGAAGGGGAATTTACTTGATCATGATGAAAAATGTATAGGGGCTCAAGACAGCTAATACGAGCAACATTTGTTTTACGTTTCAAAGTACAACCAATTTGCGTGACAATGTTCCACGGTTTTGCTGCCAGTATTACCGCACCTTTAACTATTTTTCAGCATAGTGAACAGTGTATTTACCTTCGCCCTCTCAAGAAGTCGAGGAGTTGTGATATTGAGAATATCCTTAAAACGCTCAAATATTTTCAAGACTTTTAAGAGATAAGGTTCCGTGAGAATGTTCTGGCTCGTAATGTTTTCCAGCTGCTTCAGAAGAGCGAATATGTCAGAGATGTTGCTGAAGTTTTCTTCAAATTCCGCCTAGGGTTTGAAAATAAATTTTTAGTTGGTTAACTTAAAGCTAAGCAGGGCTTCTCGTACGAAGGCGTTTTGAAGAATTTTAATATTGATCACTGAAAATATACCGAGGAAAAATTCTCGGCTCTAACTGCGGAAATCAAAAATCTGGGAAAACTTGGGTTGTTATGATAGAACTGGCATGAAGAGATAAATGTATGTGCTTGGATTAAGGATGAACGTGACTGTGTGGTTACGTGATCATACGATACCTTTACAGTGCCCAACTGCTCAAGTACACTGACCAGCTGCTCGTCTATCGACGGTAGAGTTTCTTAATGAAATTTAAAAAAATTGAAAGTCATTAGGCAGGAATAATGGACGATTGTTACTAACAGTTCACTGAAACTAACTGACAACTGAGGAAACTGAAACTGATCAGAGTCACTCACTGACAGAGGCGGACCATGACTGAATGACCGAACCAGCTACTGTCGGACTGTTGGACTGTCCGACCGACCGATTACTGACTGACCAAGCGACTGACCGATAAGCAGATATATTGTGGTTGCTTTTGCTTACCTGGCCATCCATAAAACGGTATGAAGTCTTTACATTCTTTGGTTTTGTTTATCTCTGATGGGTCTGCATAAAATAAAATATAGGCATGTACTGCTTAAAAGCGGAGCTCCCAGTGCAATATATAATATTTAATAGGCGACCGAAGCACCATACATAAGGTAGTACCGGATCTTCGAAATTCTTCTATGAATTTTTTTAAAAATTCTGTCATTTGAAGTTCATTGTTAGTGTATTCAAATAATGAAAAAAGATAAGGGGGTCACCGTATTGGTTATCAAGAAGGCATCAAGAAGGAGGGATTTTTCAGTTTTCCGCGCGTTTTTGCCGAAAATCTGCCTCCTCTAATAAATTCGAATTACTCGAATCGATTTAACAAAGAAAAACAGAAAACTGTTTTAAACTATAGGTGTTGAGACTAGAAAACATATCTAGATAAAAAAATCCATCCAACCTTTTGCAAGTAGTGTGAAAAGTTAATACTAGAAGCGAAATTGCTTGTAATTCGGCGCAGTTATATGCGTGTGTAGTTGTAAAAATGTTGAAAATTCATGACAATTTTAACTATGAATTTTTTCTTTCCGCACTAAATCCAAAGAATATGATTCGTTCGGCCCTGCTCGCTCAAAGCCGTACGGCCCTGCTCACGTCATTTTCTCGAAGGTTTTTCTAAGAGCGCGCGCCCGGGCAGATACGGGTCATATGATAAATGGCGAATATTTTACGTAATATGTATTTCTTTTGAAATTACTTTCARCATTAGAGTAAATTATCCAAACTATTGAAACTTCGTTGATTTGTGCCCATCGGAACTGGCGAAAGAGACTGTTTTTTCTAGAAAGCAAAAATATACGAGATTTCCCTTAAACACCTGAATTCTTTAAGATTATTTTCTGACATATCTTTTTACTATATAAAAAAATAAAAAGGTTTATTGCTGTTGTTTTTGGTCTTAAATTTGCCCTGTCCTAGAGCATAGTTTTCTGTGCATTGCGAGTTTTGCTTTGAAATTAAGCGGGAAAGCCCCATTGGAAACAGAAAAGAAAATCAGTCATGTCCAATACTGTTGAACGGATACGAATTGTCATTGATATTCATAAAATATGCATATCATCTGTCACCTTCTGTGTAAAATGGTTATGGTCACCCTGTAGTTGTTCCAATGATCCCATACCTGGGGTCTCACACCATTAGCACGATCCGTACGGATCGTACCATCCGTACGTCTAATTATCCATTCGTACGATTCGTGATCTCACATCAAAATCACCATCAAATCCTCTATGAATTATGCCCTTATCAAAAGTCAATGCATCGTAATAAACCACCTTTGAAAATCACTTCAAAATTACAATCAAGTCCTTTATGAATGCTAAAAGCATTGTGCATCATTCGTTCCTTTTGCTGACGTCTGCGACCTTTTCATTTACGAGTACGAAACAAAAGCAAATCTTCTCAAAGATCAAACATACCAAAACATACCTTTCATGAATACAAAGCATCCTGGAGATGAGGATCTAGGGAAACGACACCCATATGTACTTCCTGCTTTGAGTGACAAGTTATACAACTGCGCTTGTGATGCATTGACTTGGATAACACCTCCACCTCCTCCACCGTTACCTGCATCTCCACCTTTTTGAAGTGTGTAATTGCTCCCATTACTACCATCAACGTTTAGAGATGCCTTTCTTGTCATTTCCACCTTAAATAAGATAAATAACAGGGCTTTATTCCCAACTGATTAACACCTGATAATGGGATGATAATGTACTGGAGATTAGCCAGGTTGTCTTTCAGGATGCAAGCACCAGCAAAACAATCATTGTTGTGAAATCGGCGCATTTTTTATTTATCCTATATCATTGAAAATACAGCCAATCAGAATACAGGAAAATCGTTGCATATTAGGTGGTATTCTAGCGTTTCATTCCATTAGGTATTGCGGTGTTTTTGACTAAATGCCTAGATATTTTCAATGGTGTGGGTTAAAACAGTTCTACAATGCTTTCTCGTCGCACACCTTGGAATATCCCACTCGTAACTTTAATTTCTTGGTAGTTGATAAACTGGGTTTATGAGCTATCCCAAGGTATACCACTCAAAAACGTAGTGTAACTGATATGATATACGTACTCGTACAACTTACCTTGACGGCCTTGAGTCGGATGAGTCCCCCAGAGCTTCCGCTAAATTTTTGTAAAGTTGTGTTTCCCATAACTCTAGCCCTTGCATCGATCATTGCATCTATGAAAGAGAAGATATTGAGGAAATCTAGCTAAGGAACACTGCATGGAGAACTACGAAAAACACCAACGAGGGAAGGTAAGAAGATAAAACATACCTATAAAGATAATTCCTTTTACTGCCTTAATTTCTATGGCTCCGCCTCCAGATAAATACGTTTTTTTGGAATCAGTGTTACCTGGAAGAAATTCGTTTCATATATGATTATTTAAGGCGTTTCTGTCCTATTTTTCTATTGCCATACCAAACTTTTTTGATTGGCTTTTTTTAACAATTCATTCATTCATTCGTTTTTTTTGTCTCGCTCCATTCCCCTACGGTTCACTTCTCTTCTCAGGGGAGAGAAGTGGACCGTTGGGGATTGGAGCGAGACTAAAATGGTTGCGAGGGAGAGTAATACATGTTTTGATCTTTAACAGCCCAAAACCCTGAAATTTTTCCAAAAGGGTAAATAAAAAAGAAACTTCTAACAACGTTAAAAAAATGACATGAGAGCCAGGTTTTACTCATCGTTAAGTGTACAGTTTTTTGCACTCGTTTCAAGGCGAACATTGTCAATTAAGGCACAAGACGATCGAATACAAATTAATTTTCACCTTATTTCTCAACAATTTTCCAAATCTTTTCACTTATATTCGTAAGTAAAAGATGTATAATTTAGTATTACTGAAAAAATAAAGATAATATAATTATAACCAGACGTGTGAGTTTTTCTCATGGGGAGTTTTTATCGATTCTTTTTTTCTCAAAAGTTGTTGATACTCGACCTCGGGAAACTCTTCTTTTTACTTTCCAGATTTGAAATAATCATCATCTTACTAGGGTTCATAGAATCGTGATTCAAAAACTTGTTTTATGGACTTTTACTATAGTAGGCAGCTTCTTAAATACTTGACATACCTGCGCTTCCACCAATAACATATTTGAAATCCGTTTTTCCATATGATTGCCCTATGTTATGCTCTTTGTGTGAAATATCAATTTGCCCGAAACCACCGTGGCCAGCACCGCCATTACATTTAGATCTTATTACACTATCTTGTGTACACCATGAATTTTTGTTTCCTCCCGGGCCGAGACCTGTTAAGAAAACAAATATAATAACAAACAAAATCACACACACACACACACACACA